TCAGCTCTACATGATATAGATGAACTGGTTCCTATCTTAAATCAGCATTCGTGAGACTTTACAAACTCTCCTAGGTTTTTTTCATCATATGTAACCAGTCAACAAATCCACAGGAATTTCTAAAGATGGAACATGGTCATGAAACAAGCCTCAAAGACTTTGGACATTTCCTTCTGGATTTTCCTCCACTTCCAATTCATCAGAGGAGTTTAATATGTTTAATTTATTGTATTCCTATTTTTTCAATGACTTGAAATAATTTATTGGAAAAATGTCACAGCTGTTTCAGTTGACAAAATGATGCATTATTTTGTGTTTTCAACCTGTAGTATGACAACATTTACATTAAGTGAGCTTGTAAAAATTCTAAACACAAGAGCACACACAGAGATACACACAGAAAACATGCTTTTGGAGTAGTAAATGACAAATAGATACTTTGCAAATAAAGGGTTGACGAGACTCATCACAGAAATAGTAAAAACTATCCTAACAGTCACATCAGGTAACAAAAGACACCACACAGCCAAAGCAATCCAGAGAAAGAAAAAATATAATAAGAAAGCTGCAGGTGTTACACTACCTGACTTTAATTTCCACTACAAATCTATAGTAAGAGAAACAGCATGGTACTGGCATAAAAACAGATGCTAAAACCAATGGACCAGAATAGGGAACCCAGAAAACAATCCACATACTTACAAACAAGTGGTCTTTGACAAAGGCACCAAGAACACACATCAGTGAAAAGACTGACTCTTCCATATATGGTGCTGGAGGAAATGGAATAGCACCTATAAAAAAATAAATGTAGACCTGGATCTTCCTCCATATTTGAAAATCAACTCAAAATGGATTAAAGCCTTAAATATAAGACCTGATACCTTACAAGTCCTAAAATAAAACACAGGAAAAGCACTTCAGGAAGTAGGATGGGGGAAAAACTTTATGAAAATGACCCCAAAATCACAGGCAACAAAAGAAAANATAATAATAATAATAATAATAAAACAATAATAATAAATCACCAAACACCAATTTGATTAAAAACCAGCAGAAACATGAACTGATTAGATAATCTCTTTACATATGTGGAATGATTGATATAGATGAAAGAGAGATAAAGAAAACTATCAAGATGGAAAAAGAGAAGAGATTTAAGAATAGACGTATTACGCAAAGAGGAAAGGGGGTATATGGATTATGAATAATGTTAGAGATAAATCACTAATACACCACATCTTCTCATAATGTGCCTGTAATTGGACTAAGTTTAAGTAGACTGAAAGGTAAAAGAAAAGGCAAAATGGGGGTTTTCATTACAAAAATTGCATGCTTTTAGCAATATTTGCTGTGCAATGGTGTAAGTACATGAATACAAGATGGCTGGGAATGAAGGACCAGAAATCAACAATAAAGATACCTGCCAGAGCAATGCTGATATAAAAAATTAGATGTTAGCCAAAGGCTTCACTGAAGTTCAATTATGCATGAAGATAACACTACAAACTGCACATATTTGATACATGGTAATGAACCAATCACCATGTCACACTTTGTTCACAGTCTTCCTATCAGACTTTCTAACACAGGATAATCCAGTTCAACTTAAAATATAGCAGGGTCTTGAGGAAATTAGTACATGTTAACTAAAATACTCTGAATCACTTTAAATTTCCCCTTTAAATATGAAAGTGAGTGTGACACTGGTTGATTTGCTATTTGCATATTACATAGTCAGCACTTTGAAGTTCACATCTGATCTGTGTGATAATTTTGAGACTGTCACTGTATGTAAAGGAAAGCCACATGTAATCATTTAAAAAGGTTTCCATTAACAACCATGCTCAGTTGAAATATAGAAACACACTCTGCTGTCCTGTGTCCAGGTTCCAA